CCAAAGAGGTTTTCTTGGTGCTTTTATAATAAGCGTGAATTGTAGGAATAAGACTACAGACATCTTTTTAAAAAGCATAGCTATGGACAAAGAAAAATTCACCTACATGCAGTAATTAAAGTCTCCGTGAACTCACACAGACCCAACAACTCACTTTATTAGTGCTTGTTTTAATATCTAAGATTCTTCTTTTACAGGTGTTTGATTTCACCATCATAGACTTGACATCTGAGACTGATGAAATTCCAGATATTATACCTTTGGAAGAGGAGAATGAACCAAGGGGAGAATGAACCTCCCCTGAGAGGCCCTGTCCTCTCAGGGGAAAATGTTGAATAACTAACCAAAGAATACTCCTTTTGGTTGAATATGCAATTTGTGTCACGTTAAACTTCATGTGTGCTTATGTTTTTATTCCTGTGGCTTTAGAGAGTGTTAATCTATTTTTTGGCTACTTGGTCTTAATTGCAATGAAACTCTGGTTGCTCTGAACTTTTATAAGAGATCCTAGTTTTGTGTCATATCATTTTACATAATTCTTCAAAATTTAATTGCTGAAATACCTATAATAAAAATTGGACTGTATAATCTTGAATCAGTGATTTTTTTTCATTGATATAGTGGACATTTGTTGTCTTTCGGTCTCCCATAATTCATTCATGCTTTTTGTGGTAACAGTACACTTGTGTTTTTTGGGGGTTTCCGTGAGTCTTCTGGTCGAGGTTTCTTACTTTCCCCTAGCTTAGGGGTGGGCATGTGACTAAAAGCAGGTCAACTGGGAGGAAGCATAGCATGATAGGTACGGGCTTAGCCTCTGGGTTCTAATCTCTCTCTTACTCCGTTATCTTTAGCAAGTTACTTAATTTCTCTGTGTCTCAATTTTCTCATCTGTAAAATAGGAATAGTATTAGATTTGCTATGAAGATTAAATAATTAACATTTGTGAAAAGTTTAGAGCTGTGCCTGACACAGAGCTGCATTAAATAAGTATTAGTTAAATAAGTGAATTGTAGAAGCAATGGCCAACCCAGTAGCTATGAGCATTCCTAGTGCCCAGACTGTGGTACTGAGATACCATTTCTCTCTAAAAGAAACCAGGGCTGGCCCGGTGAGGTGGCTCACACCTGTAATCCTAGCTCTCTGGGAGGCCGAGGCAGGAGGATCCTTTGAGCTCTGGAGTTCGAGGCCAGCCTGAGCAAGAGCAAGACCCATCTCTACTAAAAATAGAAAGAAATTAGCTGGACAACTAAAAAAAAAAATAGAAAAAATTAGCCGGACATAGTAGCACATGCCTATAGTTCCAGCTACTCGGGAGGCTGAGGCAGGAGGATTGCTTGAGCCCAGGAGTCTGAGGTTGCTGTGAGCAAGGCTGATGCCACAGCACTCTAGCCCGGGCAACAGAGTGAGACTCTATCTCAAAATAAATAAATTAATTAATTAAATAAAATAAACCAGGGCTTCTTGGAGAAATGGCTGATTCCAGATCTGAGGCAGGAAATGTACAGAATGAACCTTGAAGTTCTTGCTGTCTTAGATGGCAAAGCCGCTAATTTGAACAGGTTCCCATTGGCCAAAGATGGGACAATTTGAACCTCTATAAGGATAATAATTGCAATAGATTGAACCCCATAAGTATGTTTAAATCTATCAGTTTCATAATGAGATATTTATATATCATGTATGTATATAAAATTATATATATAAACAACCTAATAGATCATACTCAGAGGATGATGGCAAATCATTATCTTGAAAATCAGTAAATAAAGGGAAAGAATTCAGAATTTATCCTTCCTTTTCTTATATCTTTATCACCAGGTAACCAAGTATTAATAGTAGATGAGGGAAAACTTTTCTTCATAAAAGTATTCCCAATAACAAATGAAAAAAGGATGATAAATTAGAATATCAACATTTGTCAAACCCCAGTGAATTAATGGATCTAGGCATTTAGCACCAATGCCTGTCAACAGCATAAAGATATTATGTGCTTCTTGATAAAAGAACATACACCTTCATTTCTAGTCTATTTTTTTTTTCAAAGTAGGATTAAACCAGAAAGCATGATCTAGTCTATTTATTTATTTATTTTTTCTGAGACAGAGTCCTGCTCTGTCACCTGGGCTAGAGTGCCATGGCATCAGCCTAACTCACAGCAACCTCAAACTCCTGGGCTCAAGCAATTCTCCTGCCTCAGCCTCCCCAGTAGCTGCGGCTATAGGCATGTGCCACCACAGCTGGCTAATTTTTCTATTTTTGGTAGAGACGGGGTCTTAATCTTGCTCAGGCTGGTCTCAAACTCCTGACCTCAAGTGATCCTCCCGCCTTGGCCTCCCAGAGTGCTAGGATTACAGGCATTTCTAGTCTTGGCAAAGGGATCATATGTGAGTGTAATCTATCCTTTGGATCCAAGTCCCAATTTGAAGGAAACACAGAGGACAGGGACAGTGGAACATGTTGAACTGCAGCACGAAGTTGCAATCAGTTAAACCTAGACTGTGAGAAACTATTCAGGTAAAATAATCAACAGAAAAATTGTAAGAAAAAAGTTGGAGTGAGGGGAATGAAGGAGAACTTCTACAATAAATAATAGTACTTAAAAAAACTTGAAAAGACTAAAAAACAAAACAGTCATGGGAAATCTAAAAACTACAGTGTCTAGAGAAGCACATGGGTGGTAGAACTATAAGAAAATGCAAGGAAGTAATTACTATAAAAAGTGAGAATGGGGTTACTTTTAGAGGAAGTAGGGACTTCTTTAATGACTGCAAAAGTTTTATTTTTTGTCTCGGGTGGTGGTTACAAGAATATTCACCTTATAATAATTCATTAAGCTATATAAAAAGGTAAATTGGACTGGCTGGGACATAAATCTTGAGTAGATTGACACACAGGCTTGCCCTTTCTTGAGCCTTATTGGCCGGCCTTTCCCTCCTTTCCTTATGCTACCCAATAGCCAAATAATAAAACCATCAGAGTCAGTTTTGCTGCTTGCAACTACAGAACACTAATTGATACACGTGGCCTTGCCAAGTTACCATCAGTGGTGAGGTGGGTATAGATAACTTTTTGGAGAAGTTTTGCCATAAAGAGAAATGGAATGGTAGCTAGAAAAGCACTGGGGTCAAAGGATTTTTTTTTAAAACCAATGGAAGATTTTATAGCATGTTTGTATATTGATGGAAAGAAGAGAGTAGAGGACAAATGCTCGAGCAAACTCCTTGAGTAGGAGGAAAGGAATGTGATCCATAGAAATAAGTGGAATGACTGGTCTTAGGTAGGCATACCTTGGCTCACCTGAATTGTCAAGATAGAAGGAAGATTGTATGGGCACAGATATAGACAGGTTGGTAAATTGTTGATGGAAGTTCTTTTATGGAAGCATCAATTAACCAAGAATCAAGGACATCATCTAAGAGTGAGGAGGGGAAAGGAGGTAACTGAGGACTAAGGATGAGAAGAAGATATGTATAATTGTGTACAGAGAGAGATTTGGGAAAAGTAGTAGGGTTCAGGGAGCAGGCCCAAGAGCTAACTTGAGTCATCACGCATTTTGAGTGAAGCCAGGCATCATAATTGTGCTTAGCTGTTAAGCTGCAGGTGTGGAATAGGCAGAAAAGGGAATTTAATAGGAATTGGGGTTTTACTACGTAAATATGGCAGAGAAAGGGGTCAAAGATCTGATGATTTGTTCTAGTTAATGATTATAATGTGAAGTGAGTAAGATACAGTGAAGAGACAACAGGATTAGAATTTCTGGTGGTCCAAGGACTGTTGGAATAAGGAGACTTAGAGGGATTGAGCTAGCAAGTTAGAAGGCAGCAGTTGAATTTGAGATTATGGAGGGGTTGCAGTAATTGATAAAGACAAGTCTAGGGTATGTACCATGAGAGTGAGTGGCTGAGGTAGAAGGGAAGACAAGGTTATTGGAGAGGATATCAAGGAACTGAGAGGCCGGGGTATTGGAAAGGTCACCTACATGATATTGAAATCACCAAAAATTATCCCAGGACCAATGTACAAAGAGAGAGGGAATTAAGTGCTAAATCTTCTCAGAACGAGGTCCAGTGACTCGGAGATCTTATGGATGACCTCCACAAGGAAGAGTTATGAGCGACAGCGTTAACTTCAAAAGGACTGGTGGTTTTAGAGAGGCAAGAGGCAATAATTTCCAGAGGTGTCAATGAGAAATAAGTAGGATGCCCTACACTTCCCGGCCCTGTTGTATATGGAGTTTGTAAGAGAAAACAGCCATCGATTGAACACTGCAGGGGGAAGCTGTATGCTTAGGAGAGAGAAAGATTTTAGTTAGAGGAGGAAGATGAAAGGATCATTCAGCATATGAAGGCATAGGAAAATTTTGCCAGTGATAGAACTGAGGCTCAGGGGACTTGGTTAGGGTCACACAGCTAGTTACAATAGCTGAGGATGGAACCCAGTGCTTTTTCCACTACACCGAGCCACAGTACTCTATCTACCGTTTCTATCTGACGTAACAACTAGCATAAACAAGCAAAAGGAACCCTCAACACTTAGAGAACCTTGCGACCCGAGGGTCGCTGCCTGAGAGCAGCAAGCAAGCGTAGAAAAATTCGCTGGCCGCGCAATGCGCTGTGGGTCTTGTAGTTCCTAGGCTGGGCCTGACACGGAGGGACGCAGGGAAGTGCGCGTAGCATGGCGGGAGATATAGTCATCCGGGAAGTCCCTCCTCCCTTGGAAGCTTGGCGGCGCAGGCGCACATTGCTCTTTCTTAAGCGCGGGAGTCTCGGTTTGTGGTGGTTTCGCTGAGGCGGCTGTGGCCCCGCTAACGTTAGAGGCTCCATTTCCCGGAGACTTTACAGCCCTTTGAGGCGAAACGGCTCCAGGCAAGAGAGGAGCAGGCGGTGGCAATGGAGGGACCGCCGCGACCTCAGGCTGCCCATAGAGAGGGATCCTGAGGGCCCTCAGATTCGCTTGGGCGTGCTCTTTGTTTCCTCTCAGTCACTGTGCCTACCGCGAGGATGAGCTTTGCCTCGGGCACCTCTTTCGAAAAGCAGCATCTCTGGATGTATCTGCAGGCGCTCAACTTCGAGCCAGGCCCTGCGACCATTGCCTGTGGAAAGATCGTGTCGCACACGCACCTTGGAGTGTAAGGAGGCCGGGGCAGGCGGGGCGAGGGAGTCCGAGCCGGGAGACGCGGGGTGACCCGCCCTTCTGCAGACCCCGCAGGGTGATTAATCAGAAATGCTCGAGTGATTGCTGTGTGTCAGGCTGAAGCCACTGCTCCCAGGCAGTGTCAGTTACGGAAACAGTGCCGGAAGCGCTTTGCCGGGGAGTAGAGTGTGTAGTCCGGGCAAAACTGGAGGGGCAGTTGAAGTAGGGGTGGTCTGTGAAGTAGTGGGGCGGGGGGTGGTTAGTTGGTAGTGGAGGGGCATAGGAACCATTCGTGCAAATGCCTTTAGGACTCAAGGGAGCCTTTGAAGGTGGTCGTTTAACTTTATAATTTTTACTTTTTGAGTTAGGAAACTAACGGGTGCCACAATTAGGAAAAAACTGTAGAAAGGGATATTTAAAAAGTAATGCCTTTTTAATGAAAAGTAAGAGTTCCTTCCCTACTTTTGCCACTTCGGTAAGGCTATGGCCATAAATCTGAATACTTTGTTTATATTTCTGTGTCTTAACTTTTTAACTTTACAAAATATCTGTTGCCTACTGTAGGCCAAGAGGCATTTGGGATACATTGGCCATCTTCTACTCTCAATCTATTTGATTTTTGTGAATTACCGAATTTCGCTTCTTCTAGTGGCTGTGTTTTCATAATGTGCTTAGACCTCTCTTTCTTGACTTGTCAATCTCAAAAGTATTATTATTTTTTTTGGTACAGAGGCATGGTCTCACTCTTGTTCAGGCTGGTCTCGAACTCCTGAGCTCAAGCAATCCTCTTGCCTTGCCTCCCAGAGTGCTAGGATTGCAGGCCTGAGCCAAGGCGCCCCGGCCCTCAAAAAAGTATTTTTTGATTCCCTACTATGTAATTTCACAGTGAAATCTTATAATGAATGAATCTATTATAAGATTTACTTTCTTCTCCTCTGCCTTCACCCTCTTGACTTTTTTCAGCTGTATTGTAACTTTTACTGTCAAGGTTGAGAGCTGTAATTAAGTTTTGTTTGGTAACTATTTTTTAGAAGTTAATATTTATCATATGAAGTGCTTTGTCTAGAAGTCTATTCTAGATATTGGCTGCCAATGGATAGCATTTATCGGGCTATGATGCGTTTATTGTTTGTTTCACAAGATTTGATACCTCCCAGCACAATCTCATTTTCTCTGGACTGGCAAAGAATTTTGATGCTTCTTAAGGGCTCCATTGAGAATGGCTTTCATTGCCACTGCATCCTTGTTTCCTGGGTTTTGGCAGTCGTAGCATTCTCTTGTGGTTTATCTGTCAATAGGATTGCTATCTGCTTTTTATTTTAGAAAATTTGTTAAAATCTATCAAGTTCTGGTTTAATGATGCAGTTTTTCTTTTTTTCAACACAGTCATAGATGATTTGCCCCTGTGTCTTTGGAGTCATTTCACTGGGTTATTGGGTGGCATCCACCATCTTTTTTGTTCTTGTTTTTGTTTGTTTTTTTCTTTTATTGATATAGTTGTTCATATTTTTGGGGTGCATGTGATATTTTGATACATATATACAATGTGTAATGATCAAATCAGAATAATGGGGATATCCATCACCTCAGATATTTATCTTTTTTTTTTGTTGGGAACATTACAATTCTTTTTTTTTTTTTTTTAATTTTTTTTTCTTTGAGACACTTTCTCTGTTGCCCAGGCTGCAGTGAGTGCAGTGGCGTGATTAAAGCTCACTGCAGCCTTGAACTCCTGGGCTCAGGTGATTGTGGTGCCCCAGCCTTCCTAGTAGCTAGGAATATAGTTAAGGGCCAACATGCCTAGCTTTTAATACTTTTTAAAATTTTTTGTAGAGATGGGATCTCACTCTGGTGCTCAGGCTGGTCTTGAACTCCTGACCTTGAGCGAGCCTCCCACCTCGGCCTCCCAGAGTGCTAGGATTACAGGCGTGAGCCACCATGCCTGGCCTAGTGTATGTTTTTTAATTGGTTATATAATGTACACGAATGAGAAAAATTAATTTGCCTTGATCTTTTGAAGAGAATGAAAAAATACTACTTTGTGTCAAATTCTCACACAGCTTTTGTTGATATTTAGTTAAATAAATATTTTCCTTTTCTTTTTCTTATCTTTATTATGATTTTAATCACTAGGAACATGTTTGACAAGCTGAACCGTGATGCCTTTCATATAGTTTCTTATTTTTTGTTTCAAACTCTGGACCAGTCTCTCACCAAAGAAGTTTTCAAGTAAGGAAAAGCTATTTCATTTTCTTTTCTTAAGTAGTTATTCTCAAATTTGTAATGGGCTGTGCCTTGATGTAAGCCAGAATTGCAACTTGGCCTTTGAGTATTGTTTTGAATTGCTGTTATAAAATTTAGTCTCTATTATAAAATGAATCTTACAAATTTAGTGCTTAACCTTTATAAATCTGGGTGATTTTTCTTTGTTACACACCTTAAAATCATTGTTGTTTTATTGGTAATATAGGTTTTGTTTCATAAAATTGGTTCCTTACATTCTTCCTGGTCTTAATTATTAGGCAAAATAATTAACTGTTATCATTCTGTATATATACTCAATTTTGCCCTACTTGTTAAATTTTACAGTTGTCTGTAAATCCTTAGTTTTTTCAGTGAGATACATATATCTATATTTAGCTATCTATATATATATAAAAGTGTTGATTGCTGTAGGCAAAAATTATTCCTATTAAATTTAGGCTATTATATGGTATTGAATATTAAATAGTATAAGAAGGAGATAAAAATACATGAATACCCATTAGTCCTGGTTCTAAGTTATTTTGCTTGTGATTTGGGGTTCTTTTCTCTGAAAGTGTTCACCACATTGATTTTGATATTTATATTGTGCTATCAGCCTTTTATATAGAAAAGCAACAAGTAAATCTATGTTTAGGGCATTACTTTCTTTTTTTTTTTTTTTAAGACTAGTCAAGTGCAGTAGCGAGAAGGGAGGAAGGAGTCAAAAAGGAGTTCGATCTGTAACTGACTGTGAACAATAAATTGAGATAACTCACTGTCTTTGGACCAGCTTACTTTTATTTTTGATAATTTATTCTTAATATTTTACCTTTATTTAAAGTTATGAGTGCCCAGGAAAACAGGTATATTTGGAACATTTTTTTAGAAATCCCTATTACTAGGGAGTAGGGCTTCCTCTGTCCAAATAAAAATAGATTTTTTGATTTTTTTTCCTAATTATAAGCATTACGGCTCATTTTAAGTAATTCAGAAAATACAGAAAAATGTAAAGAAGAAAGTAGAAATCATTTGTAAACCCACCAACCAGAGGGTATCATTGACATTCTCGCCTTTTAGTCTTTTTTTTTGCTATGCATACTTAATTTTTTCTAGGAATATTGAACATGTGTTATAGAAATATAAAAGGCATGAGACCTTAATATTATGCCTCAGAATAAAAATTCAGGCAAAACTGATTATCAGGGGAAAGAAATAGGTAAATTTTTAAAGTGTAATATTTTTGACCAAAGCTGAAACAAAACTTTTCTTTTTTGTGTTTTTGTATCTTGTTGTTTAGCTACAAAACCGTAGCACCCACAAACTGATACGGGTTATCTCTAGGAGTCATACTCTGTCATGCCATTCCTTCTCTGCTCATCATATGTATCTATTTATGTTTCTCTCCTGCAAGATTCTATTTTTTTTAGGCTTAATTTTATAATTTATGTCATCTTTTTGCATTAGTCCAGTGTATCCATTGAGAGTGTTGACTTTTCTTTAGCTGATTTTCATTAATTTTAATAGCTATTCATTCCTTCATATAGAATATGTTTCCATTAGTTATTTGTACTAAACAACTCAATTCTATAGATATTTATTTATGAAGAAAAAGATACAGTTTCTCACAGGTTGGTGTCTCTCTAGGTGAAATCTGAGAATATTTGCTTTAATTCATTTAGCTTTAATATATCTAGTATAAGAAATAAGTTTGATATTTTAAAAAATTTGCTGAGTTTGGTTTTTTTTTGGTTTCATAATTCTAATGCTTTTATTTTTAAGATTTTGTTGGCCTCCATTTGATCAAAAAAGTGATACTGAATTCCGGAAACATTGCTGTGAATGGTTAAAAAGGATTTCTGTACGTATTCTTTTTTTTGAAAGATATATACTGTAAGAGGTTAAAAACTGCATTCATTTTTTAGAGGTGAATTTTTTTAATGCTTTTATGCTAACAATACAAACAAGGAAATATTAGTTAGAATAATTTTTTTATGGTTTTTGGTTGGGATTCTAGAAATTTCTAAGAAACCAGCTTTGCTGGCAAGGTGCACAGGAAATAGGTTTTAGAGTTTCTGGGAGTTTATATTACAGTTTTCATTTAAATAAAACTTTTCTGACCATAGATTATTTTAGCTTGTTTCCCCAAATAGTATCAATAATTGTGGCTTTATTATTAGAATTATTTTTTGTGACCAAGTCCACTTAGTGTTTAGAAAAACAAAAAAATTCAACTTGTGATCCAAACAGAATAATCCTAATCAAGTCCTTTAATGCTTCAAAAATAGTCTGATGTAAAGAGGGAGTGGGCTGGGGCTGGTGGCTGGCCAAAACTTCACCTCTTTGGACTGCTTCCTCTTTGCTACAGAATGGGACATGTCCAAGCTACTGTGCTACAAAGAGGCACTGGTGAGCTGTCACCACCCATCAATGGGTGCTCATGTACATGCATGTCATCTACTGCAAGATTGTCACGTCCTTTAAAAAAAATGGTGTGATATAAATATAAGAGTTGTTGTTGATAAGGTCATCAAATCATTTTATCTCTTTTCTCCATAGGCTGAATATGGAAGTGGCTTTCCTCAAGTTGTTGGTTCTCTGTTTCTTTCTCCTGGTGGTCCTAAGTTTATTCATCTGATGTATCATTTTGCAAGATTTGTTGCAATAAAATATATTAAAACCAATTCTAAAAGTAAGTTAAGCTAACAGGATTTTTTTGGTTTGATTCTTAAATTTTTATAGTTCTTTATGATTTTTAAATCATCAAGAAATTTTAATGAATCAAGGTAAGTTAAAACATTAATTTACCTCAAAAAGCAGATAGTTAATATTCTGCTTGAACCGTAATTTGAAATTTTCTCATAATGAACCTAAGTTACTTTTTACATTATTTTATTATGTCCTAGTACAGGAATTGAGAAGCAATTTCTATATAAGGCCAGATAGTAGATATTTTAGGATTTGTGGACCACATACAGGGTCTCTGTCACATAATCCTCTTTATTTTTTTATTTTTAAAATCCTTAAAAATGTAGAAACCAGGCCGGGCGCGGTGGCTCGCACCTGTAATCCTAGTACTCTGGGAGGCCGAGACAGGAGAATTGCTTGAGCTCAGGAGTTCGAGATCAGCCTGAGTAAGAACAAGACCCCGTCTCTACTAAAAATAGAAAGAAATTGGCCAAACAACTAAAAATAGAAAAAATTAGCCGGCCATGGTGGTGCGTGCCTGTAGTCCTAGCTACTTGGGAGGCTGAGGCAGGAGGATCGCTTGAGCCCAGGAGTTTGAGGTTGCTGTGAGCTAGGCTGAAGCCACGGCACTCTAGCCCAGGCAACAGAGTGAGACTCTGTCTCAAAAAAAAAAAAAAAAAAAAAAAAAAATGTAGAAACCATTCCTGCCTTGCTAGCCTCTCAAAAATAGCCAATGGGCCAAATTAGACCTGCAGGTTATAGTTGGCCTCTAATATATTGTGTTAAATGCTGTGTTGAATGTGTTTGAGATTTATTTTGGTTACTGGCAATGTATTAGGAATTTCTGTATTAAACAGATTTGATTTATTTATTAATTCATAGAAATAAAAAATTGGATTTTCAAAGCTAATATTTAAAAGAATGCTATTTGTAATTTATTAAATATGCTGTTCTATTTAATTGGTTTTTGCTCATAAAACATGGAAAGGAAAAATGACAGAGAAGTTGAAATACTCCTGAGATGATAATTGTTGACATTTTGGTTTAGTTCCTTTTAGTTTTTTTTTTTTTTGGCACATATAATATATATCCTTATGGATCAAAAATCAAAAGGTGAAAAGTCTATCTTTCACCTCTGTTCTCTACCTAGTTTCTCTTTCTAGAAACAACATCCTAATCAATAATACAAACAAATATATCTATATATTCTTTTTAAAACAATTATAAATGGTAATGTAAATCTGGTTTTGAATCCCTTTTCACTTAACAGTTTATCTTGGAGATCATCTCTTAACAGTTCACAGAGCTTCCTTATTCTGGTTCTTTCTCTTTAGAACTGCATAATATTACATTGAATGGATGTACCCTAATTTTTTATTTATTTCTTATTTTTTTTAGAGACAGGGTCTCACTCTGTTGCACACCACCATACCCGTCTAATTTTTAAATTTTTTGGTGAGATGGGCGTCTTGCAATGTTACCCAGGCTGGTCTTGAATGCCTGGCCTCAAGCAGTTCTTCTGCCTTGGCCTCTCAAAGCTCTAGGATTACAAGCCTTAGTCACCACTCTCAGCCCATAATTTATTTAATCCGTCTTGTGTTTACAGACATTTGGCTTTTTTTCCTAATCTTTTGCTATAGAAACAATGCTACAGTACAAATTGTATACATACATCAATTTGTATATATTCAAGTGTGTGTATGTATATATATATAAATCCTGAAAGATGATTTGTTTGGTCAAAGGAGCTATGTGTTTGTAATTTGCTAGTTATTACCAGATGATTTTTTGTAGGGGTTGGACAATTTATACTTTCATCACCAGTGTATGGAGAGTGTTTATTTTCCCAAAGGCTGATCAACATAGTATGTAATGAGATATTTTTATCTTTTCAGTCTGATAGTTAAAATGGAATCTCAGTATAATTTCAATTTGTATCTCTTATTATTAGTGAGATTGAAAATTGTTTCATATGTTTAAGAGCAATTTGTACTCTTTTTGTACTCTGGTCATTACCTTTTGTCCATTTTTCTCTTAAGTTATTGGTCTTTTTCATTTGTAGGGGCTGTTATTTATTCTCTCTCTGTGATGTGATATAAAACCTTCCAGTTTATCTTCTGTACATGATTTTTAAAAACATGCATGTGATCATGCTTTATAAACATTTGCATATTTAAAATTTAATGTTAACATAAGGCTTTTTTCAGTTCCTCTATTAGTAGAGGATCTGCCCCAAATACATGTAACCCAAACTATTTTATATGAACTGTGTATGTTTGGATTTAACAAGGGTTTATTGTATATAATGCTTTTAAGCATGGATTTTCCTGCTTTTGATTTAAAGCAATTCTAGTCAACATGTTTAATCTGTAAGTGACTTCAAAATTCAGTGAACTCATTTCCTGTTAAATATTCAGAAATTGTGTTTTTTGGGGGGTAACATTAGGACCTGAATAAGCAATGTTAAGTGCAGTGTGGTGTCCCTAATTTCCAGATTTACCCATATTTTTATTATGTTGAGCCATGTTTAAGTAGGATTTATTACATTTTTTACAGGTAAAAACCTGGACTCAAATGGTTACATGGATTGTTCTCAGGGTCTACTTTGGTCATTAGTTACATAGCCAAGAATTGCTTGAGAAATGGACAATGGTTTTATTTGGTTGTCCTGTCCTGTTGGTCTTACTGTGAGGAAGAGTAAGCTGATGGCAGCAATGGAGGTGATGTGATCTCACCTCCTCTCTTTGAATTGGCTTTCTTCCTTTGTTGTTAAAAGATCCTGTTAGGAAACATAGTAGCTCATGTGTAACAATGTATTTGTTCATGGATATCTCAAATTGTAATAACAAGAATTATTTTAGGTAGATGTACTCTGGAAATTTTTAATTATGTAAAACAACTCAACTTCAGGTAGCCTTTTTTAGTTGCCTACTTTAAAAAAAGGTCATCTTGCTTTTGTTAACATTAGTTGTATCTTTTTATGTATGTGGCATACTAGCTTTTAAGGAGTTGTTATTTCATGTTAATTTCTTAAAATAAAAATTCAACATTTTTGATAATTATTAGCTTGTAAGTCTGTTTTCTCTGATCTTATTTGTGTTCCATGTAGATGCTTCTCTGCGTTCTACAGAGGCATTTAACATAAAGCCACAAGATTTGCACAAATGCCTTGCCAGGTGCCATGTAGCACGTAACAGATTTTTACAAATTTTGCAAAGAGAAGATTATGTTACCCAAAAATATAAGGAATATATACAGTAAGTAATACTTTGATAGTTAGAAAATAATTCCTTTCTTTTTGAACAAATGTCATCAACATAACTTCAATAGAAATAATCCATGCCTACCTTACAAGTCTTCCTCAAAGATCTTTCCATTTTATTTTTTTCTTTTTTATTTCAGCATATTATGGGGGTACAAATGTTTAGGTTATAGATCTTTCCATTTTAAAGCCAAATAATTTCTGAATAAAATATTTTAAAACTTCAGGCATACTATAAAGGAAAGTTTAGAGAAACGGAAAAGATGACTTTAGTTCAGAAAATTCAATTTTCTTATG